AGCATTTATAAATAAGTATAACATGTTAAAAATGTAAATTATTGTGATGAAAAGCTAGGAATGGATCAGGCTTTGTATAGGCCATAACCTAAAAGATATAGAGGATCAATAATATCATGTGAAACATCTTCTTCTACTGTCTTTCTTTTATTTAACTTGACTAATGCCTTAAGGATTTTGCTCAGTTTTCCCTTAATCTCCTCTTAGGCCTATTCTAATTTTTCTACATGGCTTGTATTATCTTTTTTCATTCTTCTAGCTTGGGCCTGAGTGTAATATTAATATTGAGCTACCCTTGAAACTTGATTTCTCACATTTAGGATGCAAATTTAAAATGATGTTTATGAAATCATTAGATTATGCATGAGAATGAATGCAAAAAAAATAAAAAATAAAAAAGCATGAATGCAATAAAGAGGATTTATCATATAACAATTGTTATCAAAGAAAATCTTTATTGAATTAAAAGTTATTTCTAACCAAATCTAATATTACATCTATGAAAAGTTTAAAATTTACTAAAGAAAGAAATCCCTAATTTATCAATACTAGCTTTGCACTTCGTTAAGGAAATCCAACAGTTCTTAGCCATGTACTCCCATTGGTGTTACTTTTGTTTTTCATTCTTCAACATTTTCTACTATGTTCTTGGCTTTATAAGTAACCATAGTGATTTGGTCAAGTAAGGACTTCAACTGGTTATGATTTCTCACATATGCCTCCTTTAATTACTCACATTCTTCATTTACAGCCTCTATTTGTGTCTTAATTTCCACTACCACTCCATTCAACATTTGGATGCATTTTTGTGCTTTACAAAACACTTCATCTTTTTCTTATAGCTCTGCTTGCAATTGTCTCTTCTAAAAAAAAAAAAAAATAGGCCAATTCTCGATTGGTAGATGATCGTAATATGTTAATGTTAGAAAATAAATTCTTCCATTCATCATTTTCTTGTTCAAGTGTTTGAACTTCACTTTTTATCCTTTTGTTTGCAACCTTCAACTATTCGGACTCACTTTTCAAGTCAATAGAAGACTTTGCTAGGTTTTTCGTGGATATAACTAATATTTTTCTTGTTAAAATTATTTTTTGACAGTTATTCCTTATGATGACTCTAATGATATGAATACATGCATAGTAACATAGTAAGATTAATATGTACATAATATATATATATAAAGAACAATATACAAAAAAAAAAACAACATAAAGATTTAGTAAACAAAATAAACAAAAAAAATAGTACATTATTTTACAAGCAAAATGAACATTCCATTATATGTCCTATTTGCGATTGTCTAACATAAAGGAAAGTATGGCTCTAAATTAGGTTCAGATCCTTAAGGTTTATGTATATGTTAGGTTCAAAGGTTTGATAACCTAAAGGTTTTTAAATTATTTTTTATATCATTATCCATTATAGACTAATAAAACACCCAAACGTCCATCCATTATAGGCTACAAGAGAAAAAGATTAAATTTGAGTAAGAGTTTTTCGCTAGCTCATATAGAGACTTGAAATCTCACGAAGATATAGGTACTTTACTTCTTTCTAAGAGACAAAACTCGAGTATAGAGCTCATGTTATGTATCTGTAAATGAATGACAGATATATAAAATAAATAAATAAATAAAATATAAACAAGGAAAATTTTTTCTTAAATTTATTAGGTTAGACTTGAATAACAAGAAACCATCCTAACTCTTGATGTCCTTAGTAGAGTCACCAAATTGTCATAACGTATAGATCTATGGACTTATCGCTAAACATAGATTTTAGAAGTCGCCACAAATCTTTTTTGTTTAGGCACGATTGACCACCCGACTGAATCTGTCATATTTAAAGAGAAATTTTAAGATTGACTTAAGTATTTTTAAATAGTAGATTCTAGTCTACGAAATCAGATTTTAGTTTAGGAGTACGATTACGTATGAAGAAGGTTATAACACCCTCACAACACATATAAAAAAGATGGTATCAGTTTGATTTTAAATTATCCAAGTCTTAAAACATATTTAAAATTTACCAAATAATTTAATATTGAAAATTTTTTTTAAATTACTCCAATATGTTGGTAATAATTTAAGAATATTTTCATACCTTAAGATTATTCAATGAGAATATTTGTCACACTTTTAAGAGATTTTATCATCGGATTCATTTAATTGTGCTTCTAGATATAAATATCTACAAACTAGATTTATAGTTAGAAATATCCTTCAATTTGTTGGTAAGACTTTCTACTAAAAATTATTCTCTAATATGTTGACAGCATTGTTAAAAAATATTTTTTAAAACAAAATTTATCAAGTCTTACAATAATTTAGTAATATTTAATTTAAGATTTAAATCCTCCAATAGTTTTATAGGATTGAAAAAAAATAATTTTTTTTGAAAACCTATTTTTTTCAAAAAAATTAATTAAAATAAACAAAAATTATCATACAAATAATATCATGCAATAATAACATATCATACAATTATATATAGTCGTGAAAAAATAATATAATTATATAAATTATCAAGCAATTAATATAAAATATCATGTAGTTAATTAATAATCATACAAAATAAAAATAAAAAACATCACAAATAATATTACCAAATTTCTTTTTTTCTTTTCTTTATTCTTTTTAAATTTAACTACTACTAATGCTGCTACTAATAATAATAATAATAATAACACATAAAAAAGTAAAAAATAAAAATAAAATAAAAACAAAAATAAAAAAAAACCTATAACCGAGCCGCATTTGGAGTGCTAATCTTCATGCAGATCGTTGGACTCACACAGGTCATAAGGTTTTCAAAACAACATTCTTTTGACTTAATATAAAAGGTAAAATTTTTTGTTTTTTCTCAAACTTTTCCCCCTCTCTCTAGCTGATTTTTTCTAGCTTCTCTCTAAAAAAAAAAAATGAAGAACCTGGTGACCAGTCTTGTTAAGTTGCACTAGAATCTGGAAAGTTTCAACGGAAAATTGGGTTTTATGCAGGAATCCCATCAAAAAATTCAAAATTTGTCAAAAAATTTTACTGTGAAGTTCAAAGTTCTTCCTATATCCAGAATTTTTCAAAAAATTCTAGAAAAATTAAGCAAAATTCCCACAAACACCAAATCACAACTTCTTTGTCTCCTGATTCCGTACTAACCGAATTAAACCCTTACAATTTTCCAAATTCCCAAAATTCTTCAATAAAAGAAGAAAAAAAAAACCTACTGTCAAACAGTATTCTCTCAAACTATGTAACCTTTTTTTTTCTTTCTTTTCTTTTATGTTTGGTTGATTTCTTATAGGGATTGAATTCCTTACAATTTTGGAAAATGAATCAATTCAACCGACTTAATTTCCCCCCAAAAATCATGAAATCACTGAATCATAAGTTTCTTTTCGATAAAAATCCTACACATTTATGTTTCTGATTTTTTTTCTTTTTTTTTTAACCTTTGACTAAGAATAAAATAATAAAAAATAAAAAAATAAAACTAAAATTAAATTAAAACTAAAATCGAAATTAAAATTTTCGAGCCCGAAATTTGTCAATGGAGGCCATTTTATGGTCAAAGGTCCGATTTTGATTCCAAAGAAACTCCCGACAAAATTGGATATCTATACAAAGTACAAGCCTATAACATAGAACCATCATTGATTAATTTCTGAATAAAAAGTTTTACAAGTTATCATCACAATGTGGCAAAAGCCTATCAAGTTTAAGGTGTAAGTTGTAGCAGAAAATTTTGTGCTACAGACACAGAAGAAACCATCTTTACTCGGATTCACATATCACATAGCTCGACTTGCAGAGATGAGAACATCCAGGAGGAAAATAGGTAAACAACAAATGAAGATCAAAGACTCTAACAGCACTCATTGTCAAGTACTTATAAAGGTACAGTAGCCTGAGAAAACTAGCATCTGTTGGTGCCTTCTGACTAGATAAGATAATAAACAGATGCAGCAGTTAGCTTCCAGTGACACCAGTTACCGAAAAAACTTGAATTTTTTAGTATAAAGGAAACAAAAAAGGAAATGGTAAAAAAAATTAGTAGTGCTTTTATACGTAGCATGAAGGTGACGAGGGATGTTAAGTACGTCGGTTAACACTAATATCTTCCAATATAGCACCGAAAGCAGGTACATATATGTGAAACTTAATGATTTTATAAACTAAATTTGATCTGATAACAACTAGATATAACAGGTACGTCATCATGTGTGGCTATTGAGAGAGAAAAGATTTTGTTGTATTACCTTCTGAATACTTTAATCAAAGCACGATTCCAGAAATTTTGTTTTCTTGCACAAGCATAATTATTAGTTGACTTTGCATTTTATTAGGCCCATAGAAAGAAAGAAAGAAAGAAAGAAGGAAGAGTCATTACAATTTTCTGAAGTGAACACTTCCCTGGATCACAAATTAGCAATACGTGGTATGTCTTTTCCAAGTGCTTCAAAGTTGCATGAGATCAAGACTTGAAAGAATTTGAAATTAGACATAAAAGGAACTTGACGCTAATTCAGATCGAATATGGGGTTAAACAAGGTTGAAATCGAAACTGACTCTGAAACTTCACTTTAGATGGTTAAGTTTGGGGCACCTGAATGTCATCCCATCTCAATTCAATCACAGACATTAGAAGTACCCAAGGTCACTTTTTGGACTAAATATAGACTCAAACTGCATGGTTAATCAAGGCACAGAAGAATCAAATTCAATCTGTACCCACTGCTAACCAGCTTTCTTGATGCCAAGGTTACAGGAATGGTGGATAGATGTGATGAATTACAGCAAAGACATAATATACAAATAGGAAGGAAATTGGTAGGAACCAACTTAATCATTCAGACTAGTAACTACCATTTCTCTACATTATGATATGGTGGAAAATAGGAGCTTAGGAATGAGCAACCTAATGGTTCTTATTATTTCACTGAGGAAATTCAGAACTTAAAAGATGGCCAAATATGTTGCTATTAATCCTACCATTCAAGCAGTTAATGGATGGCTCCATTCTCCTTCACATCTTTTGCTGATATTGTATCTTGCTTGAGATCCCCTTTAACAGATTGTTCCTTTTCTTTCTCTTCTTTCTCCTCAGCTTTCTCTCTTGCTTCCTCCTTTGCAGCTTTAAGGGCTTCAATCAAACTCTTCAAACAAGTCTCTTTCTCGTCATCATAATCTGACTTCAGCATCAAATTCTCAGCAACATCAGCAGGAGTCATATCTGTTTCCTCCAACAGTCTGCTAATTTCTCGGAAAAGTGGATGAGAATCAATGTCCAAACAATTCTTTGCTAGCACCTTGAATGCTTCAAAGCGACAGTAGGACATTTCAATGTGCTTGTCCATTCTTCCTCTCCTTATTAAAGCTGGATCAAGCTTCTCAACATGGTTGGTAGTGAAAACAATGATTCTTTCACCCCCACAAGCAGACCAAAGACCATCAATAAAATTCAAAAGCCCTGATAAAGTTACCTCGCTCTCCTTTTTCCCCTCTTCTTTCGCCTTATTACTAATTGGATCCATCGCTTCTTCATTCTCATCTTTTTTCTTCATTCTTTCTCTTTGGCCTGTAAGATCAAGAGAACAATCAATATCCTCTATTACTATGATAGACTTGTTTGATGTCTCAATCAAAAGCCTTCTGAGCTCTACATTATTCTTAACTGTAGTAAGCTCAAGATCATAAACATCATACTTCAAGAAATTAGCCATGGCAGCAATCATGGTAGATTTTCCAGTTCCTGGAGGACCATAAAGTAGATAACCACGCTTCCAAGCTTTTCCGATCTTTGCATAGTACTCTTTCCCCTTACTAAACTTGATAAGATCCTTCTTGATTTCCTGTTTCTTTTTTTCATCCATTGCTAAAGTATCAAATGTTGCAGGATGCTCAAAAACTACATGTGTCCATCTAGTACTTCTGTAACCATGCCAACTCTGACCTGCACTATTGGAGTAGAGCTTCCGCTGCCTGTTATCTGCTGCAATAGCTTTCCCTTGTTTCAACACATGAATGAGATAAGTCCCGGTGATGAATTCCCGGTCGCGTTTATGGCACTTCAGAATGTAAAACCTCTTATCATCCGAAGCCGGATAAAATGAAAACTGTTGTGTTTTTGAAGTACTTCTACTTGCAGCCCACCAAACCTTGACGCCATTAAACTCATCAGTGATTTCCTCATCATAATCCATGCTAAGGACTAAAGACTGACTATCTTCAACAACATCAGCCTTGAGTCGCTTAGCATAGGCAGAGGACCTGCCACTGAGATAGTTCTGAATTGCTGAAAAGGCTTCACTTCTCTTCATCCTTTCGCCACTGAATTCATCAAACGTTACATGAATGTAAGGATACATAAAATTCGACAACTTTTCGATATAGTCCTGAAGTTGAGGAGGGAAGTACTGTCGGAACATGGCATACATGAACATAATGGTTGCCATGGTTGAGCCTAGATTAGACCACATTTCTCCTTTCATCATCATTTTTGCTCTCTCTCTCTCTCTATAAGAATTATTGAAATTTTTTAATGTACAAGTGCCAGCTGTTAAATATATATATATATATTTTTTGGTAAGAGAGCTGTTAAATATATATATACATAGGGAAGAGAAGATTGTTTATAACTTGGTGATAAAGTTTACAATTGTTTATAACTTCGTGATAAAGTTTACAACTTTCCCACTATGACTAGCTTCCAACGTCATAGAAGAAACAACAATGAATCTAATGCGGTCAAGGTCTTTGTCCGTACCTCTTTTTCTTTAAATTTGTAAGCGAGGGAAAAGCTTCTGGTCGGGTACTGAATAATATAGTAGGGATAATCGGATCAGTTTTTTTTTTTTTTGTCGAATTTGAATTAATTTTATGATTTAATTTTTTAAGTTTAATATGATTTAATTCGTAAATGTTTAAATTTATAAACGACCTAATTTAATTCAAAATTAATAAAATATTATTTTTAAATATAAATATAAATATAAAATTAAATAAAATATATATATATATAATTAAATAAATAATAAAAATAATATATATTAAATCAAATCGAGACAAATTTTCATATAAAATTGGATCTTAATTCTTTTTTAAGAATACATAATCCGATTCAATCAAAAACTCGATTTAAAAACAAAATTGAATGCTGTAAAATCATATCAGATCAGAATCTGATAGATACGTGTTGGATTGCCAACGCTAAATGATCGCCAACTTCCCCTGCGCAAAGGTACCAGTATTAATTCCACCGCCAAAACAAAACAATAAGCCTGGCTGTTTTGCGTCTGATTCTTGGAAATCAGTTTGGAAAAGTATAATGATTCTTGAATATTGATTCTCAATTTTATGTGAAACTATTTTTCGAAAGATAGATGGCTTATTTAGATTAAATTCGTATAATAATATCTAATCACAATGTTGTTCGTAATAAAAAATATATATATAATTCATTTAGGTTATAGTCTATAAGTGAAAACGGTAAAGAGTCCGTTCGAATCTTCTTTCCATGGTATAAGAATCCAAGTTGGGATACATGACTTGTAAGAACTCTAACACGTCGGGCAGCTTAAGGATTGGTTCCATGTGATGTAATGGGAGTAGATTTAAAATTTTAAAATATGATACGGTGATACGATATAAATATTATATGAATATAAAATAAAAAAATATAATTTAAAATTTTAATAAAATTAATTTGAATTTAATAAAATAAAAATATATATTTTATATTTTTATATCGATATAAATTATTATAAATAATTTTTACATAAAATATAACATGAATGCATAAAATTTACTATTTTATATAATACACATAGATAAATAATCCAATTTAAGTGGAAATGACGTCACAACGTGTGAGGTAAATTTTCCAGAGGTACCAGTAACCTTCGTTATTCAGCAGTTAGCGTATTCTTTGAAAAGGAAAAAAAAAAAGAGCTAGAAATATTGCAAAACAATACCAATTCAAATGCAAAAGGGGGAGGAAATACAGTAGTCTAGATGAAATGAACCATTGTCACATGGTTTAAGCCTACTTGATCATAACAAATGTTTGTAGCAAGAAGCTCAAGATTATTATAAGCTCAAACCTTGGATTCTCTGTTTGTTTTATCACTCCTATGGCACAAAGCAGACACTGTTTAAAGCATTTTATTATTATTATTATTGAAAAGAGCATCACGTTATAGCTTTGATTGGATTAATTAACCTCAACACTAACTATGGCATCGGATCGGGTTTAAGGCGAGTTTAGCGATGGTATCGAGTCGAGTTTGGGGCGGGTTTTACTCGTCCTGAATCCGATTCGATTTTATGCTTTATCAAATCCGACTCCGATTCGATTCGAATTTTTTTAATATCCGAATCCGATCCGATCTAACAATATGTAAATTGTATCTGATCCGATCCGATCTAACAATATGTAAATCGTATCTGATCCGATCCGATCTAACAATATATAAATCGTATCTGATCTGATCCGACCCAAAATTAATAAAATATTATTTTTTAAAATATAAAATATTATTTTTTAAATATAAATATTTAAAAATATCATTATATAAATATATATATAAATAATTAATTAATTAATTAAAAAATAATTTTTTAATAATATCAGATCGGATAGGATCGAATTTTAAACATATCCTAACCTGATCCGATATCGATTATTATCTAATTTTATCAAATCCGACCTCGACCCGAAATTCAAAATTCAAAATTCAAAAAACAAAACCTAATCTTATCAGATCGGATCATATCGAAAACTGTCGAAAACAGGCTTGATTGCCGTCCCTGCTCAACCCCTTTACAATTTGATTGGCCTTTTTGAGCAAGACCTTAAACAGTGTTTTGTACTTTTACTTGACTCAAATAGAAGAAAGATTTACTTGGTTGAACACAGATGTATCGGCCAGATAGTGACATTTTCAGCTGTGGGATGTTGTGCAGTGACACGTAAGGAAAAAAACAATAGACCCATCTTTAAGGTTATTTTCAGTTCCAAGTAAGCATGATTAGACAGTGCGATTCGAGACTTACAGGCAATGGTATACGAAAAATCTCTTAATAAAATATTAAAATTTTAATTTCAATAATTAATGTTTAATCTCTGTCAATCTCAAATCATTTATATATAATTATGAATTTCATGAATATAGATAGTAATCAGTTTATATATTTTTATAAAATTTTAAATTAAAAAATTTATTTTTAAATATATATAATTTTTATTAATTTATTTAAATTTAATTTAAATCAATTAAAATTAAAATTAAAGTTTATATGAAATTAATCTATTTAAAATTTTAAAATTTTAAAATTTTAATTCTAAACGTATTATAAACGTATTAAAAGTGATTGTTAAAATTTCCTTGATAAACATTTTTATAAAATTTAATTTACATAATTTTTTATAATTAATATAAAATATTATTATAAGTTATGATTTAATTAAATTTAAAAGTGATTTAAAGGTATTTATTAACAAAATTCATTTGATAAATCTTTATTTAATTTTATATTTAATATTTCAATTATTTTGAATTTTGACTATTCATAATTTCAAGTTAGATTTTAGAGTTTGAAATAGCAACCAATTAGATTAAATCAAGTTTTATCATTTATTTCCATTCATAATGTATTCAATTGTTCACTTATGTGATTGAATAAATTTGACTCAATAATTTGTGCATGTTTTTCTTTGTTTAAAAAATTGGATTCAGATTATCCTAAATCCAAATAAAAAAAAGTATACTTAATTGCTTAAATTGTAATTTCTTTTTAACAATACTTTTAAAATTAATTAATTAATTCAATCATAAAGATAATAAAAGTAAGAAATTGAAGATGAAGTAAAAAAAATTTAAATAAAAAACTTTTAAATTGTTACAAAAGATAAATAAGAGATATTAGATTTTGATTAGGTTACTATTTCAATACAAATTTTAATTATATTCAATCATTTCAAGTTTTAAACAACTACTAAATTGTTGTTTTTTAAAATCAATTGAAATTGAGTCAAGTTAGTTTATTTTTATAATTATGTGTATTTTATTATTTTTAATTAAATTAAATTTTAAAATGAGAAAAAAATTTATTTATACTCAATTTGAGTTTAGAATTATTTCAAGTTTAAATTGATTAATTTATGTTATTTTAGCTATACTTTTATGGTACAAGTAATAAATTTCAAAATAAAATGAGAACACAATCTAATGAAAGTTTAAATGCAAAAGTGATGGAGATAATAGTGATAATTTTAGAAAAAAATCCTAATACCCAAATTTTGTAGAGATTAAAGGATTTTTTTTAAGGATTTTGATATTCATATTGTAAAAATGTTAATCTAGATCAACGAGTTTATAATCAATTATTTTTTAATCAAGTTAATGTGATATAAGTTGAAGGAAATAATTCAAATATTTCATTTAAAAGAGATCATATCATAATTCAAACTCATTCATGAAGATAACATAGAGTTAAACATTACTTTGGTTGTTATGACTCTTTATAATATTCTTTTTTCTTTTCAAATAGAGAAGTTGATTGATATCAAAATATTAAAAAAGTCATTTTGAATAACAGTAATAAGAATGAAGAAATAATTAAAAATATATCATCTTTTTGTTTAGTAAAAGAAATTTTTTATAGAGAATGCAAAATATTCTTTCCTCTTTCCAAATAGAGAAGTGATTGGTATCAAAATATATATATATATATATATAAAAGTTATTTTGAATAATGATAATAAGAATGAAGTAACAATTAAAAAAATACCATGTTTTCTTTAATAGAAAAATTTTTTTATGAAGTGCGAAGGTAATTATTATGAGTGTAATATTTTTTTAAAATTATTGTTTGTTTAATTTTTATAAATTTTAGTTTGTAAATATGTTCTCATTACTTTTATCATATATATATATAACAAAATTTTTTCCCAAAATTGTATGCTTAAAAATAAATTTTGATGGAGCACTAGATTTAATGGAAGGAAATAAAGGCATAAGGGTGGTGGCCATAAATTTTTCAGGAAAAATACTAGGTGCTATGTGTGTGGAGATTCACACCTAACCTGCGAAGTATTATCTCCTTTGATCCGAAGGTCTCATGATTTTATCTCATAAAAGGTATATCATAAATTTGAATTTAGATCTCTACATATATATCATACTATATTCACACATTCTTTCAATGTGATATTAGAAATATTACAATATCCTCCCGTTAAAGCTTGACATTTTCGTCAAGTCCACTACAAAGCACACAAATCCACTGAATCACACCAAATATTGGACAAGCCCAATACAAAGCATACATAGATCACAAGATCAGACTAAACGTTGGGATTTTAGAGGTGGCTCTCACTATATAGCACTTAGCTCCCACAAGATTCTAGAGGTGGCTCTTACGATATAGCATTTAGCTCCAATTCGACTTGTGACCACTATAATACCATTTGTGAATATCCGCACCCAACCTATAA